CCTCCCCCCCCCACCCCCCCCCACCCCCCCCCCCCCAAAAACCTTCCCATCCCCCCCCATTCTTTAACAAAAGAAAAAAAGGTTTTTTATTTAAAAGCCCCGGGGGGACCCAGTTGGGGCCCAAAAAAGAGTGGGGACCACGAATAAGGGAATTGGGGCAAGTAACTTCCAAATGGGGGGGGGGGGGGGGGGGGGCTCAGTTTGACATTTGCCAAGAATTGTCTCCATTAATTTCGTATATCCTGGAGTAATTTTGGTAATTGTGCTTACCCATGGAGAAGAAGCACTTTCCCTTTGTCCACTTGGTATTTGCAAGGTCTGCCTCGTTTCGGGGGACCTGCGTGCTTGCCTCGGGATTGGCTGTCTCTTGGATGTACAGGTTTGTGCCCGTGCCCTGGGCAGCGTACTGCGCTGCAGTTCTACCTCTGGTACAGATAATGCCTTCGGGGGAGAATAGACATGTCGCAGTAAGATCAAGATGCAAAACCTGTCAAATGCTTTAAGTTTATATAAATCTTTGTCAGGAAACGTATAGGACACCAAACGTGAATATTATTGTGCCTAATGATTGCCTGATGTAAAAATGCGCCTGGAATGAGGTCAATATATGATTTACTCAAAATGTTCACGTTTAATATGAGAATCTTCTAATGCGGTGTCTATACTAAATTTAGCTTTGGTCTTTTAAAGAAGAGAGAAATAACAGCACAGCTTCCATCGAGTACCATGACAATAACAGAGTCGTTTTCAAAAATCAAACTAGAGCACGTTACTTAAATTTATACATAGATTTCATGATGTACTCGTCAAAGATTCTTTTATCCCCCCGGGACAGTGCCACTGACTGTAGTGTCTTTAGGCCATTCCCAAAGGGGGGACATTTCTCATTCAAGCATAGTAGAATTGAAAATGGGCTGACTTATATCACGCTCATAACTGTGCCTGATCTACAACAGGGAACTGCTGCTTTTTCTTTCCTGATCCTTACTGTTGTCATTTTCCTCTACTTCTTTTGTATGTTGTCATTCTCTTGTGACCTGCTATTTCCGGGGTGCCTTGATAGTCGAAGCAGAGGTGAGCAGTCTAAGTCTGATTCCCTGTAAAGAGTTCTCTGTTGATGCCCACCCTTTGGCACTCATATGACCGTATGCAGTTGCAAGCGCCGTAAAACCCTCTACTATTAAAAAAAAAAAAAAGAAACCCTGCTTACTGGGATCCACGAAGTAAGCGGTGGCCGTGTAGCGGTTTCCATCAGGCAAAAAGGGTGGTTGGATCTTGCTGCTGGGGTAACCATTAGCCTGATTATTGGGAATCTGGGGAGTATGATGAGGCCACAAGGCTAGTGAGAGCATTTGAAGGTGTCGTTTTGGGGCAACGTGTCGAACTGATACTGGAGATTAGCTTTGGGGAAAAGGCGCAATCCGTTGTGTTTCTGTGTGTCTGTGTATGTGTCTATGTGTGTGTGTGTATGTGTCTATTTGTGTGGGTGTATGTGTCTACGTGTGTATGTTTGTGTATGCATGTATATGTGAGTGAGTGTGGGTGTGTATGTTTGTGAATTTGTGGAATTTAAATTTCCTGCTGTTTCTTTTTAAAAATAAATTATGCCTATTGATAATAACTTACAACACGGGTAAAATTTAGAATGCCCATCCCATAGTTACAGGGTTCGCAGTATTTCTGTCAAAAATATATTTAAAAAACTTTGGAGACAATAAAATGTCAGAATCTATTTTTCTAAGGGTAAACTGTCTTTCAACTTTTTTTTTCTCCAATTACCAAGTAGTGGCTTATTTTCAAAGACCACGGCCCTCACTAAATGAAAGTTCGTTGAAAAAGATTTAAAGGATATTTGTATTAGAATGCAGCTGAAGGAAATAGTAATGCTCACGGATGTCTGGATGCCTGCAATGTAGCCGTTGACGTCATAGAGCAACACCACTGCGTAGTCGTTGTCTTTGACGTACCGATTACCTCTCCACTTGGCGTTTTCTGGAACGGATTTTATTTTAGACTTTATCTGTCTCTGCCTCTCTGTCTCTGTCTGTCTGTCTGTCTGTCTGTCTGTCTGTCTGTCTCTCTCTCTCTCTCTCTCTCTCTCTCTCTCTCTCTCTCTCTCTCTGTCTGTCTCTCTCTCTGTCTGTCTCTCTCTCTGTGTGTCTCTCTCTGTGTCTCTCTTTATGTCTCTCTCCCTCTCATACACAGACACACACACACACACACACA